TAACGTAAATATTTATTTAGACTTTAAAACTCGTCATTCTTGTTATTTTATACGTATCCAGTTGTTTCCTGCCATCTATTCTGTAAATTTTTCCTTTTGCTCATCTGTATTTATAAATTCTGAGACCTTGAAGTTTTAAGCGATATAAGATATAGTAACTGTTACATAATAGACAAATTCATAAAAATGTCGGGTGGTGGTAACATTAAAGTGGTGGTTAGATGTCGTCCCCTCAATTCGAGAGGTAAGTATTCATCCTCGACCATCCTACTAAAACCGACTCTCTCACGTCCAACCTCCCCCCCCATCCTTCTCCGTCGTCTCTTTTGTGAAACCAAAGATGTTAATCCTGAAAATTTGCTGAATTCGTTTCTCATCGTTTCTAATATTAGAACTGACTCGTGGGGCAAAATGCCTAATTGAAATGCATGGCAATCAAACAATCCTTCACAGGCCTGACTCGTCAGATCCCGGTAATGCAAAGGCCACGAAAAAAGAAGATATGGCTTTTACGTTCGATAAATCGTATTGGTCGGCTGACAAGAGTGCCCCAAACTATGCTGATCAAAAGACTTTGTACGAGGATCTTGGCGTCGAGCTACTCAATCATTCATTCGAAGGTTATAATACCTGTATCTTTGCATGTACGTATACTAATTTGGACTCTAGCTAACTTACGGAATGTGTGTTGGTTGGCTAACAAAGATTTGTCGAATCAATTTGTTAGATGGACAGACTGGTTCAGGAAAATCTTATTCGATGGTATGTTCACGTGCTGACCTTCTTTGACAGTATTCTTACGGTTGTTTGGCGGTTATTTATCTATATTATATATTGTATTGATGATGCGTCTTTAGCATACGCTGTACAATCTTATGTAATTTTTTAATGTTTACCACGTGTTAACACTCGCGTTTATCCCTTGCTTTTTTTGTAATCAGATGGGATATGGCGAAGACAAAGGCATAATCCCGTTGACATGCAGTGCTCTGTTCGAACGCATCAGCAACAACAACGATCGAAACATTACGTACAAAGTTCAAGTGTCGTATATCGAAATTTACAATGAACGTGTTCGTGATTTGCTTAACCCAAAGAACAAGGGTAATCTCAAAGTTAGAGAACATCCTGTACTCGGTCCATACGTCGAAGATCTGTCAAAGTTGTTGGTCAATTCATTCGAAGATATAGAAAATCTTATGGATGAGGGTAACAAGGTATATTAGGGCTGTCTTGCTTAAATCGGTGACCAGGCGCTGTTCTCGTACTCACTTTTTTGACACTTATCAAGGCAAGAACGGTTGCTGCTACAAACATGAACGCAACTTCAAGTCGTTCGCATGCTGTCTTTACCTTGTTACTTACACAAAAACGTCTAGATGAGGAAACAAAAATGGAAACGGAAAAAGTATCCCGCATCAGGTAATGTTTTTTTTACTTGTTCATTCACGCAAGATGGTGCCTTTCTGACGCACAACTGCTTCCATAGGTTGGTCGATTTAGCTGGGTCTGAACGTGCCAATTCTACTGGTGCAACTGGAGATCGTCTGAAGGAAGGTGCCAATATAAACAAATCCTTAACGACTTTGGGGAAGGTTATTGCTGCATTGGCCGATCAACCGTCTGGTAAAAGTAACAAAAAAAAGGAACAATTCGTACCTTATAGAGATTCAGTAAGACAATACGCGAATTTTTTTTTGTTTAGTTTTTGTGACTCGGCATTTCAACTAACATTTTTTAATCTACAGGTTCTGACATGGTTGCTGAAGGATAGTTTGGGTGGTAACTCCAAAACTGCTATGATTGCAGCCATCTCTCTGCTGATTATGATGAAACGCTCAGTACTCTGAGATATGCCGATCAGGCCAAACGTATCAAGAACAAGGCCATCGTCAACGAAGATCCTAATGCCAAACTTATTCGTGAACTTAAGGAAGAATTGTCACAATTGCGCGCTAAGCTCGGTATTAGCCCTGGTGATATGTCATATAGTAGAGGAACCGGCGGTGATTCCGAAGAAATTGTTGTTCTCCAAGACAAGGAGGGTAACATGATTAAGAAATCGAAAGGAGAACTTATGGATCAACTTCAAGCTTCCGAGAAATTGATGAATGAAGTAAATGAGAGTTGGGAAGAAAAATTACGTCGTACACAAGAAATTCAGCATGAACGTGAAAAGGTTTTAGAAGAACTTGGTATCATGGTCGAGAAAAATGCCGTTGGTGTTCATCCACCCAAGAAAGTTCCTCACTTAGTAAATCTTAACGAAGATCCTTTGATGTCAGGATGTCTGGTATATCAGATTAAGTCGGGAACTACTCGCGTTGGACGTCTGGATGACGATGCTCCCGCTGATATTCGATTGA